CGTAAGACTCCAAGCTGGACACTACTCGGGAAGGTATCGCAAATTTAGGAGAGCGCGTTGAACAATGCGTCGCGAGGGGTGCTGAGGGCGAGCATCCCCGCAACGTTCGTCAAGGCTTGATAGCTGCTAAGAACGTCCACCAAAGAGCTCATCTGACAGATTTGTCGAGATAATGAAGGAAAGGGCTGCGAGAAGCGCGGGCCAGCCGCTCTCAACCATACAACGCACAATGATGAGGTGCTGAGTTGCAGGATCGTCCTGCGGGAGTGTAGAGAGGTCAAGAGCGGCAGGTGCACGAATGACGGGCTCGCCAGCCGCTTGAGGATGTTGAAACGATGATGGACGTGGCCAGTGGGCCGGTGAACGACGCGAAGCCTTCACATAGGGAGACAATACACTGGACAGCGAGAAGGTAAATGTATGCTTCGGGGATCGGTGGCGAGTCCGCTTTGTCTAATTGATCGATACTAGTCAAGAAAGATGGCTCAGCGTAATCCGCGAGATGTGAAATGGGGGCTGTACCATTGCACCTTCATGGCCGAATTCTGCACGCTCTCCAGACCGTAATTGGATCCCGATGGTGCAGCACTATCATCAGCATGAGAAATTCCGGCTCCCATCATCTGCGCGCTCACTCCGAGTAGAACAGGTTTCTCAGTAATAAGGCGTCTCAACGCAATCACAAGAGAGCTGAAGACCTTGGAGCCCGGCTGCTGCGCGTCATAGCGATCCCATATGTTTCGCACAAGCTCGGCATCGCTGCATACCCTGAAAAGAAGCATTAGTGTACACTTTGAGGCATCAAGCTTAAGACATACCCTCTCATTATCTCCATCGCAAGGACCCTTGTCCATATTGGACGTGAGCCAGAATGATCCGGATTCGACGCGTCGAAATCTTCTGAGACCATTCTTATGAGAATCATTAGGAATGCTTCAACTTTCTGCCTCCAGCTCGAATAAGAACTTCGTCAAGATCAAGAACACAACTCGCGTGCATCTGAGTGTCAACGGAAATACATGTCTGTCTGAGAGAGATTTCAGAATGAGTGGACAGAGGTAGTGTTGCAGCAACATCAAAAGTTCCGTGTGCTGCGACAAGCATCAGTATGAACTAACTGAATGGGATCGACAAACTTGCCTTCCTGAACAGCTTGTGGTAGTTCGCAAGTACACTCTCAATTAACTCCAAAGCGAAGGTCTTATGTAGGTAGTCGAGCTTCAAGAAGTTGAGCTTCTCTGAAGTTGCGAGGAGACAAAGATCTTCGAAGACAGAGAATGCATCTTTGGCGCAAGGCCCTAACACTTTGGTGCTACCGTCCGGAAGCGCCGCTTGAGACAGGTCCGGAGTGCCGTTGCTCTCTTGACGATCCTCGTTGAACATTTTTCCAAAGATAATCATGACCAGTTGGCGCAGGGTAGCTGCAGCTGTTGAAGAGACTACAGCGATCCTGGAATCCTGCAGCTTAAAACAGAGAAGTAATGCCTTTGGCAGGTAATCAGACAGATACTAGGAAGAATAGACAGAGCGTACCTCTCCCAGGAGCTCTCCGTGTATCGAAGGAAAATCGGTGATCAAGGAGACTAAGGTTTGCAGGATCCGAAGTTGAATGTCTACGCCTTGGCTCATGGCATCGTTCATTGTGCTTACGATGAGTGCGACAGCAGACTGCGGTACAGCCTTGAGGGCTATCAACCGCTGCAGCGACCCCAACGAGATGGCGACGACTTTGGCGTTCTTCGTTGCGCATCCCATAAACAGCGGACGAAGAAGATCGTCTGACTGTATACTGTCTGTGGGTGAAAGATGAAGAAAACGAGGCGCATTTGAATGGAATTACGTACCAGAGGCCAAAGATGCTGTCGTTTGCCCTGGAGAGGACCTAAGTATCGCAAGCGACTTCTCTGCTGCCTTTGCGTGAACATCATGATAAGGCGCCAGCCTGACTACGTGAGATGAGTGTTTTTCCGTCGTACCTCGCGTATTTCTGGATGCTTTCTCCTCGACTCGTTGGCAAGGGACTTTGTACGAAGGTATAAGTGGACGTTGGTGGTTATCATTCTAAACTCAAACACACCTGCAATTCAAGTTCAGTCACTAGGAAGGCTAGTGAACTCATCCCGTCCTTGGATTCTTCTGAAAAAGATTTAGACCAGTCCCAACAAACTCCAGCAGGTTTCTATCAGTTACTGGGGAACACAGCCCAGTGTACAGAAGATCAAGGGTTGAAAGAAATTGACAACTAAGGAGTCGAGATTCATAATTATTGTGTTTAGCCCAGAGAATGATTGGGCGCTTGTTCCTGCTGTGTATACTTGGGTTGGCACGACTCACCATCATGATGCCACCCACTGCAGGCGTGTCCTATTGCTATAATCGAAGCATACATACTTGCTTCAGCATCATGCACCCGTACGTTCAACTTCTACTAAATTTCAAAAATTGACCATGTGACTATAGTAACACAGATGGAGAATCCAAGCTCAGGTGGGTGAAGCTCGCATGCAGTAGACTTGGAAGATTTGATCACCAAATACATAGTCAATGGTAAACATGCCTGCAATAAAGTAGTACGTAATTAAGTACGGCTATGTCCTTGGACTCCTTGTTGTGCCTTCGTGTTATTCTGAATAGGATTAATTGATGTGATGCGCAGCTGCAATGAGGTTTTATGACCTCAAAGGTGCAATACCCTGGCCCCATGTAGTTCTCGAACAGAACATCAACCTCACCACGGCTTTGTGGCTCACTGTTAAATTCCTCGGATCGCTGAGCACTCACCGTATCATTTCCCTCGCACTGGCAGGTCTCAAGTTGGTGTGCCAGTCTTGCAGTTTCAGCTCCCTAAGTGTGTATTCACTTTGATCTTACTCCATTTTGCACTCAATCGGACACCCTTCACAGCGAGATGGCGAGGTCGAAGTCATCTTTGCTCACTAACCCAGCAAACAATGTGGAGAAGTGTCGAGCTGCGTTGCGGCATTGTCCTCCAGGCAATTCACGTCGATCCTCGTCTCTGAACAATCTCGCACTCAGTCTTCGAGACAGATTCAAGCAGCGTGACATCATGTCTGACCTTGATGAGGCCATCGAGCTCCATCGCGCTGCATTACTCCTCCGTCCCCCCGGTCATTCAGATCGATCCTCGTCTCTGAACAATCTTGCTATCAACCTTCGAAGCAGATTCGAGCAGCGTGGCATCATGTCTGACCTTGATGAGGCCATCGAGCTCCATCGCGCTGCATTACTCCTCCCGTCCCCCCGGTCATTCAGATCGATCCTCGTCTCTGAACAATCTTGCTATCAACCTTCGAAGCAGATTCGAGCAGCGTGGCATCATGTCTGACCTTGATGAGGCCCATCGAGCTCCATCGCGCTGCATTACTCCTCTGTCCCCCCGGTCATTCACTTCGATCCTCATCTCTTAACGATCTCGCCAACAGCCTTCGAAGCAGATTCGAGCAGCGGGGGCGTCCAGTCTGACCTTGATGAGGCATTTAGCTTGTATTTGCAACTCTCCTGCCTATCAAATGCAGCATCCCGCACAGATCTTAGTGTTGTCAAGTCATGGGCAGCCTCCGCCGACACCCTCAATCACGACTCCGCATTGCTTGCCTATAAGACTGCACTGAAATTCCTAGATCAGCACGTTGCTCTCTTGTCGTCTTCTTCGCATCATTTCGATGTCATCAGGGAGGCTGTTTCTTCCCTTGCCACAGATGCTTTCTCATGCAGTGTTCGTCATTGTGCGCTGACCACTGCGGTAGAGCTTGTGGAGCACGGTCGCGCAGTATTCTGGACCCAGTTGGCACGCTTCAACACACCACTCGATGAACTTTCTGTTCTAAGTAGCACTGGCACAGCATTGGCTGAAGAGTTCAAATGGTTGAGTTTTCACCTTCATAACGCGTTCGATCAGTCTACTGGAGGCCAGTCTCCCCAAATCCGGCAACTGACCATGCAATGGGATGATGTCGTCTCGCGCATTCGCATGCTTCATGGCTTTTCGCGTTTTCTCCTGCCTCCCCTGTTCTCTGACCTACAGAAAGCGGCAGAAGATGGTCCAGTCATTATTCTTAATGCAAGCCAATATGGCTGTGATGCCTTGATTATCCATAGCACAGAAGATCCTGTTCACGTTTCGCTTGACACTACGCAAGCCGAAGTGTCCGAGTTCTCCTCCGAGTTCCAGTCACTTGCAGAGGTGTTCGGTTCTTCTAATCGTCGAAACACGCTTGTTCGCATCCTTCGCAAGCTTTGGGATCATGTCGTTCAACCTATAGTCCAATCCCTCGAGAAGTCCAAAGTTCCCCCTCGCTCGCGTATCTGGTGGTGTCCCACTGCTGAATTCACGCTACTTCCCATCCATGCAGCAGGACCCTACGAGGAGAAAAAAGACAATTTGTCTGACATTTACATCTCTTCTTACACCCCCACTTTGGCGACTCTCATTCGTGCGAGAAAGCAGGTTTCTCGAGATCCGTCCTCGCAACATTTTGTTGCCATTGGTGAAGCGAACCCAGACAGAGGGAAGGGACTCCGATGTGTCGCTCCCGAGCTAGCCACCGTAGCTAAGCGTCTCGAGCCCGTCGTGTCGTCCTTCACATTGCTTGAGGATAGCGACGCAACAGTGCAGGGTGCACTCGATGCACTCAATTATAATCAGTGGCTTCACCTAGCCTGCCATGGAATGCCGAATCGACAACAACCATTTGAGTCTTCGTTTGCCATGCGCGATGGGCCTTTGATGATCAAGGATATCATCCGATCCAACTGGCAGAACTCGGAGTTTGCATTCTTATCGGCCTGCCACACTACCGTGGGCGATGAGAAGAGTCCCGACGAGTCGATCCATCTTGCTGCAGCTATGCAATTTTGCGGATTTCGCAGTGTGATTGGTTCTATGTGGTCTGTTGACGACGAGGTTGCACGCCAGGTCGCGTCTGTCTTCTACCGTAAACTCATTCGAGTTGATGATTCAAGGAGATTGGACTGCACACACGCTGCGGTGGCGCTGCACAAGGCTGTGAAGTCGTTGCGCAACAAGATTCCACTAGAACAGCAGATTGTATTTGTGCATATGGGTGTGTAGTTAGACTCGATTCGCTATATTGTTCCATTTGCTGTATTTCTAGGCCGCCCTAGTTGTTTTCATTCCCTTGCTCTCGTGTTACTTGCTTATTTAATGACGCTTCTGCATGATACTTTGTTGTTCTGTTCTAGATGATGCAGTAGTCCCACACACCGTTTCGTTGAATGAATGTGATTTGCTCCTACATCGTCACAGTTTTAAGTCATTAAGCGCGGCCATATCATATAATATCATTTAGTGAGAGGAAACGAGCAGGAGTTGTCCCACAGAATTCCTTATAGTCTGCGTTGACGGTCCGGCACGTTCATGAGATGTTGTCCAATGTGCTACAATATCAATGATCAAATCTTGATCAGTAGAGCTCGAGCGGTGAGTGTTGTTGAATTCATGTCATTTAATTTTCGACTGAACTGTACACCTTTAAGTTGATCGCTAGTACAAAATGAAATAAAACGAAGTACTAGTAGTTTGCGTAATGTTTAATTCGACAAAACACGCCAGGGGAGTCGGGGACTGGTGTCGGTGCCGTTACGATACAGAAAATGTCATCCTCGAGAACTGGTACTACAAACTCGAACCAAGGCATTAGAATATGCAGTGACCCATGATATCATGCTCGCCTAGATGTATGCAGAAAATGTCCACGACATAGATCGACACTGGTTTTAATACTCACACTTTCGCCTCATAATTTGAACACAAGTTCACCTGAATTTTGTCTTCGTAGGTTGAACCCAAGTATACATCTGGCTGAGACAAAAAGCAAAAAGACATCAGCAATTACTTATCATCACAACCACCCTCCCATCTTCGCCACTAGCACTAACACCTGATCTCCAGGTAATTTCTCCCCAACCACCCGACTTCCTTCCTCGTCGTTCATCCCCACATACTCTTTCCATCTATCCAATTCCTCATACTCGACATTAAGTGCCCTCACGATATTCGACAAATAACCAAGATCCGATGAGAGCTGTGCAACTCCTGCGATGGAAAGCGTACGGATCTTCGGTAGGACGTCGCTGGTAAGATAGGATAAGATAGAATATCCGAGGGAAGACAGCAAGGCTGCTGCAATTGCCTCTGGGCTCAGCATCACCGGCTTTGGAGGCAAGACGAGTGGAGTTCGTCGGTTGTGCCTCAGCTCAAGGGACTGTTCACTCAAACCACTCAGATATGCTTCATCAACATTCGAGAGTGTGTTGAGTGAGAAGTCTAGTGCGTCGTCGTCTGCATATACCTCAAAGAGCCACGGGAGATTCAACAGCCCCTCCACAACGTGTTGGACGATATTGCTGGGGGAAAGCAAAAACAGGCACGTGCAGGTCGCCGGCCGTGCGCATGGACTTGGGATCACTCGATACCGCCCAGAGGGCAAGGGATGCATAGGATGAGAGATGTGCATGTAAGGGGGCAAGAAGGGTTTGCTGGAGGGAGGACTGAAGGGCTCGAGCCAGGTACGCAATGGATGCCCGCGTTGTAGTGAGTAGTGGAATAGGGGCATGAGATTCTGCGGATGATAAATGAGTATGCAAAGCTGCGCTGTTCAGGGAAGACTGCGCCAGGTGTGTACACCCCGCCTTCATGCTGCGCGAGCCTGAACGCCGTAGCGATCTGCACGAGTGCAGCTCGCAGCTCACCCTCAAAAGTGCTGAGTCGATCGAGCACCGCTCGTGTAGACGCGAGAAGGTGCAAGACGAGTTGGATGTTGCTCCAGTCCTGCGGGGAGTAATCCAGATCTGCGAGGTCATCTTCAGATTCCGCTGGGGCACCCGAAGGGGCAGAAAGATTCGCTGTCAGCGATTGGGTCCAGGAGTCGACAAATGAAGAGAGACATGAGTCCTGAAGCAGCATATCCATACGTGAAGGACATGCAGCGTACGAGGCTTTCTTTTGCAGCGCTAAACACATCGACCGCGCGCTCACGAAGAAGGCGAGCCCGGTCAGTGCTTGGGTTTTTGTCAGGGGCGAGTGTGGAGGCAAAAGATGGCTCATCGGAGAGGAGGCCTCGCTCTAGTGCGATTTGGAAGTCTAGAAACACCTGAAAAAGTGTTTGGTCCCAATCAAGTACATCGCTGAGACGTTCGTCAAAGCTTAATAGCTGCTAAGAACATCTATAAAGAGCCCATCTGACAGATTTGTCGAGATAATGAAGGAAAGGGCTGCGAGAAGCGCAGGCCAGCCATTCTCAACCATAGAGCGCACAATGATGAACTGCTGAGTTACAGGATCGTCCTGCGGGAGTGTGGAGAAGTCAAGAGTGGCAGGTGCACGAATGACAGGCTCGCCAGCCGCTCGAGGACGTTGAACGATGATGGACGTGTACAGTGGGCCGGTGAACGACACGAAGCCTTCACATAGGGAGACAATGCATTGCACAGTGAGAAGGTAAATGTATGCTTCAGGGATTGGTGGCGAGTCCGCTTTGTCTAATTGATCGATGCTAGTCAAGAAAGATGGCTCAGCGTAATCCGCGGGATGTAACATGGGGACTGTACCATCGGAGCTTCATTGCCGAGTTCTGCACGCGCAGACCAATACCAGACCTAATTATGCCGACTACTCCTGACACGGTAGCACTTGCAGCTGTGGTGACCGTCCCGGCAACCCCATCAATATCCAGACCGTAATTGGATCCCGATGGTGTAGCACTATCACCCGCATAAGAAAGAAATTCCGACCCCCATCATCTGCGCGTTCACTCCGAGTAGAGCAGGTTTCTCAGTAATAAGGCAATCACAGGAGAGCTGAAGACCTTGAAGCCCGGTCGCTGCGCGTCATAGCGATCCCATATGTTTCGCACAAGCTCGGCATCGCTGCATACCCTGAAAAGAAGTATTGGTGTACACTTCGAGGCATCAAGCTTAAGACATACCCTCTCATTATCTCCACCGCAAGGACCCTTGTCCATATTGGACGTGAGCCAGAATGATCCGGATTCGACGCGTCGAAATCTTCTGAGACCATTCTTATGAGAATCATTAGGAATGCTTCAACTTCTGCCTCTAGCTCGAATGAGAACTTCGTCAGGATCAAGAATACGACTTGCGTCCATCTGAGTGTCAACGGAAAGACATGTCTGTCGGAAAGAGCTTTCAAAACGAGTGGACAAAGGTAGTGTTGCAGCAACATTAAAAGTTCCGTGTGCTGCGACAAGCATCAGTATGAACTAGCTGGATGGGATCGACAAATTTGCCTTCCTGAACAGCTCGTGGTAGTTGGTGAGTACGCCCTGAATTAACTCCAAGGCGAAGGTCTTATGTAGGTAGTCGAGCTTCAAGAAGTTGAGTTTCTCTGAAATTGCGAGGAGACATAGATCTTCGAAGACAGAGAATGCATCTTTGGCACAAGGTCTTAACGCTTTGGTGCTACCGTCCGGAAGCGCCGCCTCAGACAGGTCCGGAGTGCCGTTGCTCTCTTGACGATCCTCGTTGACCATTTTTCCAAAGATAAACATGACGAGTTGGCGCAGGGTAGCTGCAGCTGTTGAAGAGACTACTGCGATCATGGAATCCTGCAGCTTAAAACAGAGAAGCAACGCCTTTGACAGGTAACCAGATAGATACCGGGAATAATAGACAGAGTGTACCTCTCCCAGGAGCTCTCCGTGTATGGAAGGAAAATTGGTGATCAAGGAGACTAAGGTTTGCAGGATCCGAAGTTGAATTTCTACGCCTTGGCTCATGACATCGTTCATTGTCCTTACAATGAGTGCGACAGCAGACTGCGGTACGGCCTTGAGGGCGATCAACCGCTGCAGCGATCCCAACGAGATGGCGACGACTTTCGCCTTCTTCATCATGCATCCTATAAACAGCGGACGAAGAAGATCATCTGATTGTACGTTGTCTGGAGTGGACGATGAAGAAAGTGGAATTACGTACCAGAGGCCAGAGATGCTCAGGCTGTCGCTGGCGCGATATACTTGGGTCACCATCATGATGCCATCCGATGCAAGCGTGTCCTGTTGCTATGATCGAAGCATACTTGCTTCAGCAGGTACCCCTTCTTTTACTACTAAATTTCAAACATTGACCATGTGACCGTATAGTAACACAGAGAGTCCAAGCTCTTGGGTGCCCTTCCCTGAGCTCGCATGCATGATGTACGTAGTAAGGTTGATCAGGATGATGGTTACCAAAACATGCCTGCAACAATATTTCATAGTACTACGTAATATGTCCTCGTTGTATCTTCGTGTTATTCTGAATAGGATTTTGACATGATGCGCAGCTCAATGCGGTTTTATGACTTCATATTATTCAAGGTGCAATACCCTAGCCCCGTGTAGTTCTCGAACAGAGCCTCAACCTCACCATGGCCTTGTGGCTCGCCGTTAAATTCCTGGGATCACTGAGCACTCACTGTATCATTTCCCTCGCACTGGCAGGTCTTCGGTGTGCCAGTCTTGCAGTTTCAGCTCCCTAAGTGTGTATTCAGTTTGATCTTACTCCATTTTGTACTCAATCGGAGACCCTTCACAGCGAGATGGGGCAGAAGTCATCTTTGCCCACCAACCCAGCAAACAATGTGGAGAAGTGTCGAGCTGCGTTGCGGCATTGTCCTCCAGGCAATTCACGTCGATCCTCGTCTCTGAACAATCTCGCCATCAGCCTTCAAAGCAGATTCAAGCAGCGTGGCATCATGTCTGACCTTGATGAGGCCATCGAGCTCCATCGCGCTGCATTACTCCTCCGCCCCCCCGGTCATTCAGATCGATCCATGTCTCTGAACAATCTCGCCAGCAGCCTTCGAAGCAGATTCGAGCAGCGTGGCATCATGTCTGACCTTGATGAGGCCATCGAGCTCCATCGCGCTGCATTACTCCTCTATCCCCCCGGTCATTCACTTCGATCCATGTCTCTGAACAATCTCGCCAACAGCCTTCAAAGCAGATTCGAGCAGCGTGGCGTCCAGTCTGACCTTGATGAGGCCATCGAGCTCCATCGCGCTGCATTACTCCTCCGTCCCCCCGGTCATTCACTTCGATCCTCGTCTCTGAACAATCTCGCACTCAGCCTTCGAAGCAGATTCGAGCAGCGTGGCATCATGTCTGACCTTGATGAGGCTATCGAGCTCCATCGCGCTGCATTACTCCTCTATCCCCCCGGACATTCAGATCGATCCATGTCTCTGAACAATCTCGCGCTCAGCCTTCGAAGCAGATTCGAGCAGCGTGGCATCATGTCTGACCTTGATGAGGCCATCGAGCTCCATCGCGCTGCATTACTCCTCTATCCCCCCGGACATTCAGATCGATCCATGTCTCTGAACAATCTCGCCAACAGCCTTCAAAGCAGATTCGAGCAGCGTGGCATCATGTCTGACCTTGATGAGGCCATCGAGCTCCATCGCGCTGCATTACTCCTCTATCCCCCCGGTCATTCACTTCGATCCATGTCTCTGAACAATCTCGCCAGCAGCCTTCAAAGCAGATTCGAGCAGCGTGGCATCATGTCTGACCTTGATGAGGCCATCGAGCTCCATCGCGCTGCATTACTCCTCTATCCCCCCGGTCATTCACTTCGATCCATGTCTCTGAACAATCTCGCCAACAGCCTTCAAAGCAGATTCGAGCAGCGTGGCATCATGTCTGACCTTGATGAGGCCATCGAGCTCCATCGCGCTGCATTACTCCTCTATCCCCCCGGTCATTCAGATCGATCCATGTCTCTGAACAATCTCGCGCTCAGCCTTCGAAGCAGATTCGAGCAGCGTGGCATCATGTCTGACCTTGATGAGGCCATCGAGCTCCATCGCGCTGCATTACTCCTCTATCCCCCCGGACATTCAGATCGATCCATGTCTCTGAACAATCTCGCCAACAGCCTTCGAAGCAGATTCGAGCAGCGTGGCATCATGTCTGACCTTGATGAGGCCATCGAGCTCCATCGCGCTGCATTACTCCTCCGTCCCCCCGGACATTCAGATCGATCCATGTCTCTGAACAATCTCGCCAACAGCCTTCGAAGCAGATTCGAGCAGCGGGGCGTCCAGTCTGACCTTGATGAGGCATTTAGCTTGTATTTGCAACTCTCCTGCTTATCAAATGCAGCATCCCGCACAGATCTTAGTGTTGCCAAGTCATGGGCAGCCTCCGCCGACACCCTCAATCACGACTCTGCATTGCTTGCCTATAAGACTGCACTGAAATTCCTAGATCAGCACGTTGCTCTCTTGTCGTCTTCTTCACATCATTTCGATGTCATCAGGGAGGCTGTTTTCTTCCCTTGCCACAGATGCTTTTTCATGCAGTGTTCGTCATGGTGCGCTGATGACTGCGGTAGAGCTGGTGGAGCAAGGTCGCGCAGTATTCTGGACCCAGTTGGCACGCTTCAGCACACCACTCGATGAACTTTCTGTTTCGAGCAATACTGGCACAGCCTTGGCAGAAGAGTTCAAGCGGTTGAGTTTTCGTCTTCATAACGTGTTCGATCAGTCTACTGGAGACCAGTCTCCCCAAATCCGACAACTGACCATGCAATGGGATGACGTCGTCTCGCGCATTCGCATGCTTCATGGCTTTTCGCGTTTCCTCCTGCCTCCCCTGTTCTCCGACCTACAGAAAGCTGCAGAAGATGGTCCAGTCATTGTTCTTAATGCAAGCCAATATGGCTGTGACGCCTTGATTATCCATAGCACAGAAGATCCTGTCCACGTTTCGCTTGACACTACGCAAGCCGAAGTGTCCGAGCTCTCCTCCGAGTTCCAGTCACTTGCAGGGGTGTTCGGTTCTTCTGATCGTCAATACACGCTTGTTCGCATCCTTCGCAAGCTTTGGGATCACGTCGTTCAACCCATAATCCAATCCCTCGAGAAGTCCAAAATCCCCCCTCGCTCGCGTATCTGGTGGTGTCCCACTGCTGAATTCACCCTGCTTCCTATCCATGCAGCAGGACCCTACGAGGAGAAAAAAGACAATTTGTCTGACATTTACATCTCTTCTTACACCCCCACTTTGGCGACTCTCATTCGTGCGAGAAAGCAGGTTTCTCGAGATCCGTCCTCGCAACATTTTGTTGCCATTGGTCAAGCGAACCCAGACAGAGGGAAGGGACTCAGATGTGTCGCTCCCGAGCTAGCCATCGTAGCCAAGCGTGTCGAGCCCGTCGTGTCGTCCTTCACATCGCTTGAGGATAGCGACGCAACAGTGCAGGGTGCACTCGATGCACTCAATCATAATCAGTGGCTTCACCTAGCTTGCCATGGAATGCCGAATCGACAACAACCATTTGAATCTTCATTCGCCATGCGCGATGGGCCTTTGATGATAAAGGACATCATCCGATCCAACTGGCAGAACTCGGAGTTTGCATTCTTATCGGCCTGCCACACTACCGTGGGCGATGAGAAGAGTCCCGACGAGTCGATCCATCTTGCTGCAGCTATGCAATTTTGCGGATTTCGCAGTGTGATTGGTTCTATGTGGTCTGTTGACGACGAGGTTGCACGCCAGGTCGCGTCTGTCTTCTACCGTAAACTCATTCGAGTTGATGATTCAAGGAGATTGGACTGCACACACGCTGCGGCAGCGCTGCACAAGGCTGTGAAGTCGTTGCGCAACAAGATTCCACTAGAACAGCAGATTGTATTTGTCCACATGGGTGTGTAGTTCTCCAGAGACTCGATTCGCTATATTATTACATTTGCTGTATTTTTAGTCGTTTTCATTCCCTCGCTCTCCTGTTGCTTACTTACTTGATGATATTTCTACATGATACTTTGTCGTTCTGTTCCGTAGTAGTGCCACACACACGGCTTCGTTGAATGAATCTGATTCACTCTGCATCGTCACAGTTCTAGGTCATCAAGCGCGGCCATAATATATGAGGAAACGAGCAGGTATTATCGCACAGAATTCCTTATAGTCTGCATTGACCGGCAGCGTTCATAATATGTTGATCAATGTGCTACAATAATGAGTCCCAGAGAAGTGCATCTGCTTCTCACCCTCTTCTTCGAGCCTTTAGCGGTATTACATCCCTATGATGTAGAGCGGTGAGTTTTGTTGAATTAATTTCATTTAATTTTTGACCGAACCGTACACCTTTATGTTGATCGCCGATGCAAAATGAAATAAAAAGACTAGTTTGCGTTTAATTCGACAAAACATGCCAAGGGGGTCGGGGGCTGGCACCGGTGCCGTTACGATACAGAAAAGATTGTGTCTACCACCACAATTTCAGCTACAGAAATGTCATACTCGAGAACTGGTACTACAAACTCGAACCAAGGCAGAATATGCAGTGACCCGTGATATCATGCTCTTCTGAATGTATGCAGAAATGTCCACGACATAGTTTAATACTGACACTTTCGTCTCATAATTTGAACACAAGTTCACCTGAATTTTGTCCTCCTCCTAGGTTGAACCTAAGTATACATCTGGCTAAGACAAAAGCAAAAAGACATCAGCAATTACTTATCATCACGTCCACCCTCTCATCTTCGCCAGTAGCACTAACACCTGATCTCCAGGTAATTTCTCCCCAACCACTCGACTTCCTTCCTCGTCGTTCATCCCCACATACTCTTTCCACCTATCCAATTCCTCATACTCGACATTGAGTGCCCTCACGATATTCGACAAATAACCAAGATCCGATGAGAGCTGTGCGGCTCCTGCGACAGAAAGTGTACGGATCTTTGGCAGAACGTTACTGGTAAGATGGGACAGGGTAGAATGTCCGAGGGAGGACAGCCAGGCTGCTGCAACTGCCTCCGGGCTCAGCACCACCGGCTTGGGAGGCAAGACGAGTGAAGTTCGTCGGTTGTGCCCCAGCTCAGGGGACTGTTCACTCAGACCACTCAGATATGCTTCATCAACATTTGGGAGTGTGTTAAGTGAGAAGCCTAGTGCATCATCGTCTGCATATACCTCAAATAGCCGCGGGAGATTCAACAGCCCTTCCGCAACGTGTTGGACGATATCGCTGGGGGAAAGCGAAAACACAGGCACGTGAAGGTCGCCGGCCGTGCGCATGGACTTGGGATCACCCGGTAGCGCCCAGAGGGCAAGGGATGCATAGGATGAGAGATGTGCATGTAAGGGGGCAAGAAGGGTATGCTGGAGGGAGGACTGAAGGGCTCTAGCCAGGGACGCAATGGATGCGCGCGTTGTAGTGAGTAGTGGGACAGGGGGATGGGATTCTGCGGATGATAAGAGACTATGCAAAGCTGCGCTGTTCAGGGAGGACTGCGCCAGGAGCGAACCAGCACCCTTGGTTGCGCCAGGTGTATACACCCCACCTTCATGCTGCGCGAGTCGGAATGCCGTGGCGATTTGCACGAGTGCAGCTCGCAGCTTACCCTCAAAAGTGCTGAGTCGATCAAGCACCGCGCGTGTAGACGCGAGAAGGTGTAAGACGAGTTGGATGTTGCTCCAGTCCTGCGGAGAGTAATCCAGATCTGCGAGGCCATCTTCAGATTCCGCTGGAGCACCCGAAGGGGCAGAAAGATTCGCTGTCAGTGATTGGGTCCAGGAGTCGACAAATGAAGAGAGAGATGAGTCCAACGCGGACATGAGTCCTGGAGCAGCATATCCATACGTGAAGGACATGCAGCGTACGAGGCTTTCTTCTGCAGCGCTAAACACATCGACCGCGCGCTCACGAAGAAGGCGAGCCCGGTCAGTGCTTGGGTTTTTGTTAGGGGTGAGTGTGGAGGCAAAAGATAGCTCATCGGAGAGGAGGCGCCGCTCCAGTGTCCCATACTCGACTTGGAAGTCTAGAAACGCCTGAAAGAGTGATTGGTCCCAATCAAGTACATCATTGAGTGTGGACTGCTGCGCCCGTGAAAAATTCGTGGCTGAATTCGACCGCCAGGACATGGACATACGCACGGAGCGGCGGCGGGTATTTTTCAGAGGCAAAGGGCCATCCAAAGTACTGTCCGTAGGGATAACAGAGAACTGTATTTTCTCCATGATTTTATCTGTGCTCGCCGCAAACTCCTCTGTCGTTTTGTATATGGCTATGATATCCTTAAGAGCAGATGAACCTGTGGTGTTGAATAGGGTTGCAAGGCGCTGCGGACACGAAGGCTGTAGGGTGGACAGAGTGGAAGTGATAAACGTTGAGAGCGTGATTTGAGGATCAGGAAAGATGGCAGGAATAGACGTGCGCTCCGCGTTGAGGACAGCCAAGAAACCGGCACAAAAAGTTGCCCAGAAGGCGCTGAACGTCTGTCTCGGCACCGCAGGCACTGACACTTCCGTGTCTTCCAGCACCTCGCTCTGCCACAAAGCAACCAGGCTCGCTTTCCGAGAGCCAAAGTAATAGTTCCTGAACTCACTCTCCCTCTGTATATTAGCAAATATCCCGTAAAAGTTCCTGCAAAGCGCCGTATCGCCCGAGTTGATTGCGCCAACCAATGCAGAACTGAGGGCAGCCTCGAGTTGGTTTTGGAGGGATACCATCAGCGCACGACGAGGCTCATACTCCGGAGTTCCCGCAAACACAGGCATACTTCTGCTAGCCTCGCTCAATCTCTCAGCAGCCTTGTCATATGCACGCTCAGCTAGCAATGCAGTGACCTCTGCCTCTAAGCTGGACCATGACTCTGCCTCACGTAGCACATCCCTCACAGCCTCCATCCGTCGTTTTGCAGTGTCAAGAGTCTGCAACCTGTCGAGAGCAGCAGACGTGCTCGTTCCAGCTGGGATACGGGCAGTGACGGTGGTGAGAGCAGAGTGTAGGGAGAGGGCACCATCACGCATGAAATGCAGGTCATACGTGAGACGGGGAGCGCTGCGTGACACCTCGTCGATTGTGCGTTCGAGTACAGCTGATGTTGTTACTGCTGAAAGGTCTGTGGCGGTCAGCAGGTCCGCCAGCAGCGAGTCAAGAGAAGCGAGCGGAACATGATTGTCTTGCGGTGTAAGTGTGTCGTTGAGCCATGTGAGTACGTCGGGTGCGTCGTCTAGTTCTTGAACAAGTGCGGACGCTGATGTGGAGGTCATACACGCTGGAATTTGTGCCTATTGTTGTTTGCAATGGAGATCTAAAGCTCATGGAAGTTGTCAGCTAGATGTCTGTGGATTGAAGCGCCGGAGCCCACTTTCAAGCTTTCAAAGTTCCAGTATGATTCAGAGCATGTGGCACTGGCACGAACACTGCAGGTTGATAATGCAATATCTGAGTTGAGTAACGTCCAAGTAGTTCAAAAAACATAAATAGCGGGTTGGATGATTGACTACTACAGAAGCTAACGTACAAATTGGTTGAACATGATATGATGAAGAACGGAATAAAATGGACAGCTCCTTTAACTACACTTCAATTGAAGCTCGAGACCGATTAAACGGACCACAATTATCAGAAGACCCTAATGAACCCCATTTGCAGCAACTTGAACATTCGCCCTACCCTCCCGCAGATGCTCCGCCGTGCGCTCAGCAGCCGCGTCATATACATATTGCGTAGGCTGTCTTCGGGTCCACATTGCATTAGCATGATCCCCGCCGCGTACCTCCTCATCCGAGTCAAATACAACCGATTCACGCCTTGGCTTGTAGTACGAATCACTCGAGTCGTGTTGTTCTATCGACAACGCATCAGCAAACCACAATTTTGTTATCAATCGAATGAGAACGTAACGCACCATCATCGACTTCTTCCACGACCCTCCTTTTCCCAAGCGCCTTGTCGCTCGGCCGTACGGGAGATCCTGACCTCTTCTTCCTCCACATCGTTTTCGTCCATGTGCAACCGGTCCAAAGCTCCACCCGTATTTTCCAGCGAGTTCCCCCTTGACGGACGCACGAGGCCACCCCTATCCGGTGAGGGTGGGCGTGATGGGAATGCAGGAGAACGAGGACCCATGGGGGGAGGCGGCGGTGCGAGTAGTGTTGGTGTGCTCATGTTCTGTGGTGGAGAACCATAGTACGGATGGCCAGGGGAAAGCGCAGGAGGGACCCGAGGAAGTGGATGGTTTTGTGAGGGAACAATGGGAGGTAGGTCGTGTTGGCGGGGTGAAGCAGGTGGTGATGGCATTGGGGATGGTGTGCGTGAGGAGCCGCCTCCATAATCAGGATAAGAGTCTCCGAGGTACTCATTTTCCATGTGCTATACCAAATGTCAGTCTTGGTCAGGGGATACAGGGCAGAAAACAGAATAACAAATTGACAGTATATAGAAGACAGAATGACTAGTGAAGACAAAATGAGAAAAAAACACTCACTCTTCGGTCCATCTTCACATCCCTCCTACTGATCTCTACAGCCACCTGTTCCTCCACAACCCGCACAATATCATCATACATTCTCAACGCCCCGATCAACGCCTCATTCGCGTCAAGCAACGCACCAAGAAGCTCCTCCTCCAAAGTCTGTTCTTCTCCTTCTGCATTAATATAAAGTTTAGCATCCATGCCGTGGTAATCTCGACTCGGCGGAGAACTGAATTGGAATATCAGGTTGGGTTTTCGTACGTCCATTTCCTTCTGCATTCTTTTCTCGCTCATTGCGCGACCGTTCAGCGCCTGCAGATGCCCATGGAATTTGGGTATATATGAGTTCTTGCGACCCGCGACACTTCGCCAAAAATTCCTATGGAACGGTCAGATTGATATCAACAGGATAAGGAGAGTCATAATGTGCCACGCAAAGGTGATGTGACAAACTGACAAAACAGGGATCAGGGGTTAACTGAGAAATCACACGCACTGGTACCAGACTCCCTTCTATCTGTTCCGGTTTCGCGTATGCAAGCATCTCGCTAAGGAAAGTCGCATTTCCTTTCGCGATCTTGCATTCCTGGAATAAGCGCTTCATGTCCTCTTCGGGAGGAATGACACCGCGCTGGTGGAGACTCTTCTTCGACGGCCGCTAATGGCGACAAGATATCACCGAGACAAGCGAGCAAAAATAGAGCAGGAGAATTGATCAGGGCATTGTCATAAACTATGAACCAAAAAAAGCTGACCTCTTCTATTGCTGGACGCGTAGGGACTATTGGGGGGCTAAACATAGCATCCTCAGTATCGAATGGAACCCCCACATCGGGCTTATCAATGGGTTTCAATCGCATCCATAGGGCACGGAAACCATCCCTATCACGGTCACGATCTTTAAGCGAGAAAGGCGATGGTTCGGATTTGGGCGAGAGGTTGGGACCTGTGAACAAGGGTCGGCAAGAGGTCGGATTAGTATCGCGAAAAGAACGCAGGTTCGGAAGAGGGCTCAGAACCGATTCGGAGACGGGTTTAAAAGGGGACTATGAAGTTAACGGCAGATGAGGAAATGTTGTTGCGAAAGATGCTCAGTGAAGGAGGATAATTGATAATAATTTTAGCAAATCAATGAACACGTACGTGAACTAGTGATGAAGGCGGCGGCTGCGAGCACCTCCATTAGTCGTTCTCTGACGACAGGACTTGTTCTTGAGCTTGTTAACACGTCCTCCAGGGTGTCAATGAATTTACGGGAGCTAATTTGAGTTAAAAAGATATCGGACGCGTTTCGGAGCATTATTGCCCATAACTGTGCAAACCGTAATGCAAATTGGATGGAAAACGGACGAGCATGTGTATTCCAAGGTGAGACATCAAGGACGAAGCAACGAGTCGGGTAGTGCTTACCCTAGCAGCAGATAATTGAGATTTAGGATCTGCATATCTGTATCCCAGACACCCTGTCAATGGTATAGAAAGCGAGGCGAGGCCATGAAACGCACTTGAATTCCCTCCGAAGGGCTTTCATAGCCTCCTTAGCATTCGCTTCAGTAGCCGATGCGCGCTCGCAGACCTCGAGTACGAGCGTCCAGTCCTCCGATGAGGTCGCTGTAAGGTACCCTATGCCGGTATAAGTTCCCGCACATCAAAGACACGGTATCGGGTGAAGTGACGCACCGATCATACGCGTCAAGCTCCGAGGGATTATCTTCCTCACGCCAAATGCGATCTCGTCCATCTTTGTCCTTTTCTCTTTCCTTTTCCTTCTCACGACTTTCACGCTCTTTATCACGTCCGCGTTCCTTGTCTTTGTCCCTGTCCCTGTCCCTGATAATCCCATCCCAGAAACTCTTCCTCTCCTTCTTCTCTACCCTGTCCCTGTGTTCAACTGGAAAAGAATCATCTGATGCTTCGTGGACATGGTGCGGGTGTGAGTGTTGCAGGGCATGGTCCAGATGTGGATCGAGTGACTTCAATATACCAGGTGCAGCGGGCACAGGCTGTGGTTTCTGGATCCTACGTCCGTCTCTCCGCATGGTATGGGTTGGGTTTGGGTTAGTCTGGGGAATGGGCGTGGGCGCGGGCGTAGGCGTGGGCGTAGGTATAGTGGTGGTATGACTTGTAGCGCTGTAAGGACTGCTAGAACGCGCGGGTAATATTACAGGTGGAATCGAAGCTAGGGAAGACGAGCGGCTCGGTGATATCGGAGGCACTGCAAACTGAGGATACGGACTAGAAGGGACAGGGGGCTCAGGTAGCACCTCCCAGTCACGGTGGTCCTCTGAAGGTCGTTTGGGGCGTACAATTGGTGTATCCTAAACGTATGCATCAAAATTCGGGTTAGTGATGATCCAAGTTATGACATAGATGATTGTTGCCACAAGTGAGTTGAAGATCAAGACTTACATCGTCGATGACAACATCAACATCTCTGTGGGAGATCACCTTTTGCTGTTTCACTTTGTCGCGCCCGAAAAGTTTTCTTCATTGGTAGGAAAGAAAGAAAAGAGCTGGGAGTAGATTGATGAAGGCTACAGGCCTGAGCTTCAGTCACTTACACATGGGGCTGTGTACCACAGCTACTGCCGCATCACGTGACAAGTCATATCCTTCATCGCGACTGCCGCGCGCGTTCAATTCCCGGCAGCGTCGGTCAATGCATTCTTGGCTGTTCTCATAGTCTTGACTGGTTTCATGGTCTTGGCAACATTCATAGTATACACAGCCAGTCGATCTATCAGTACTTCAAGCTTCAGTGATTGCACTTGCGTAATGCAAGTAATAATGACTATATAGCCAAGCCACCATCTCATAATTTATGATGGCACTTGTAACTTTGTACAGCCCATCAGATCTCAGATATCATATCCACCGACATATATAACAGTCGGATACTAACAAGTGCCTTCCGGTAGTAATTTACGTCTAGGTTGCGACATAATGACATTGCCAAGTCTGAGATTGACTCACTACCTGACAAACAGACGCTTCCCTCGTATTGGCCGCGCACTGCCCACACGCCCAGTCTCTGCCTGATACATTCGATACGCTTCACGAAGGTGATCTGGTGTAAGTGGACCAGAATCATTGCGCCGTGATTGAACTTGACGAGCTAAATATAAAATAAGTGAGAACGTATGATAGGGTGCGCAAATCAAAAGGCGTACCTTTTTCCACGATCTCACCAACAAACACTTTCGCAACACCTGCTACTATTTGCGCAACGGGCTGAGAGACTTGCTGTCCTGTCGTTTGTTGTATAACCTATTCATAGCGTTGCAAGTGAGGCTGCAACATCTTGTTATCATTATGACGAGCTCGCACCTTCCGTATAGCCTGCTTCGGTAGTGCATGGCGTCGATACGCTTCAAAGCGCTCATATTGTCCTGGACTGAAATTGTCCATAAGCACCCTAGACCGATTTCGTAAGCAGAGTGTAGTATCAAACAAAATACCACAAGCTACTTTAGGTTATCTTTGCTCTCGCTCTGCCATGACAACTGCGCAGAGTAGTCGTCGTCCGCCATTGCAGGTAAAAGCTCGTCTTCACCCTCTACGTCCTCGTCCGGGGCACCTGCTAGGTTTCGCGGCGGTCCTAGGCTGTGGAATTATCGCATCCGTTGAAGAAGCAGCAGCAGTAACGGGTAGAGGCTGCGTTGTTACAGGTTCATCATCCCCACTGTCCATCGATACGTCACCAGCATTTGCAGCGGTGCTTTGGGCAGCAGGGATTATCACAGTAGAGGTCGAGGCGGTGGCAGTGGCACCTGCAGGGACTCCAGGAATCGCCCACTGGGCCGGGGTAAATCGTGTTGCAGGCGAAGATGTGCTAGACCCGGATTGTGGTGAGGGGCGAGTATCAGTAGACACATTGGGAAATGCACCGCGAGGCTTGCGACCGCGTTTTGCACCTGTTCCACGACCACGCGTTGGCGCTGGCGCCGGACTTGGCGTAACTGGGGTACTAGGAGTCATCTGGATGAATGACGTTGGCGTGTACGGTGTAGTCATCGTTGATCTGCAAGGTTGATATCAATGTCTCTAGTAGTACTTACTACTAGTACTTGGTATGTAATCGGGAGAATAAGGTACAACCCAAACAATCCAAAACAACGACAGACAGGTATCAATTAAATGACACATCCATGGCTCATCATGAAGAGCGAGGTTTAAGCCGTACTATATGGGACCTAGGTGTGTTTTTCCATTGTGTACTGTACGATCTACAAGCTCGTCTACGGTGATTCAGCAGGAGCAACAGTCACTGACACTACGCTGTGGACTGATCAGCACGCTCCTCAATTTGTGTCCTTTACACGTCATATCTAACGTTTCCCAATCGAACGAAAATTACACCAAATCCACCAATGTTTTCCTGACGCCGCGTTGATCAGATCTGCAAATTACCAGTAACACACGCATCAGTGCCAATGGCCTTACTGCACCGATGTGAAAGCAGAAACACGTCTCACATGCAGCCCGCAAGGAAGTCCTATGTAGGTGAATCACTAGCATGTCATCCAAGTTCGAACCCAGGAAAAATACTGTACTCATGCATGGCAACGAATAGCAGTCCTTGCAATCTGCGTCACTGTAACAAACAGTAGGACATTTAGCGGTGCCAGTCACGTCAGCGGGCATGGCAAAGATTGATGATGCTAAAGCAGCAATGACGGCGAGGACGAAACGCATTGTTTATGACTCGTGTGATTTTGGATCAGATGGTCCTGAAGGAAATAGTAAGAAGATGGCTGGCTTTTATGTGCTGAACACTGTTCTTTGAAAGTCTTCTTGCATACGTGGTTGTGCATTTAAACAGATGCATATCTGAAATGCCAGCAGTTCTTGCCAGCTATAAGGTCTATTAGCAATCAATTTGGTGTGGAACTAATGAACATTCGTGTTTCCAATCGGCTGTCGACTCAGGACCAAAAGTACTCAACATGATTTCGCAGCAAGGTTGTGTCCCTGTTGAGGCGATGGCCCCTGGCATTCATCAGGCGTCAGATCGGTCCGTCTTGCATTTAACTTAACCAGTGCTGTTTTCTAATTTTCGATTTTCGGCGAATCAAAATCAAAGCAGAAGTATGCATTTTGGTAGGAAATGTGTACGGTCTCGTTACGGTGAGCGTTGATGTCAGAGTCAGACGTCCGTTAACCAATTATGTAAGATGTTATGTAAGTTGACGTGGTCACTTTTTACGTTTGGCTCCCAAGCTGTGCCCATCGTGGAGATCGATGGAGCTTGTCCTATGAGTGTTTTCCCCACACCACCACGCTCAACCGCGTGTACAAAATTCTTGGCAGTTACCTGATTCTCACCAACTAGCTCATCGTTCTCGAGTGCCTTGTTAAAAATAGCACTGGCAACAGCATCCAACTCCTCGCTCACGGTGTACTAGAAACTCGCCATACATGCCTGTACACCTATCACTAATCTCCCTAGTCAGACCATAGCAGAAGGAAGACAGTCATTCTTTCTATATCATGACCTAAGACCTTTCCAGATATTAATCTACACGGTGCGCAGTTCGCAACACCGGCCTGTGTCTGGACTCCCCGAGACATCCACTCACCAAGCACATACCACCCCGACCAAAATCTCTCCTGCAGTCCAAATCAGCCGCGTCGTAAACCAAGTGTTCGATATCGACAATACGGGATTGCACGGACTTGACAAAAGGTTGAGGTATAACATTGGAATGCTCCGGACGTGGCCTTTCTCAGATTACACATTTTCCACACCATCCAAAGCGATCTTCATTCTGCTAGGAATACTGATTATGCCCAATAAAATGCGACATGGTCAGGAGAAGAAATCCAAAGTGGTTCCGTGTCGAGCACGGCTGACGCTGGACGCGTAACTTGAGGTGTTTCAGATGACGGCCACGCTCTCCTGTTGTAAGCCTATATACAATGCTATGAGTTGGGCTCGTGACCAGCCTAGCGTGTACTACAACGGATGTTCGAGTGGCGTAGGGCAGAAAGCCTCAACATTTCAAAAAACGCGCATAGGCAGACTGGTTACTAGTCTGGCTTCGGGTATTTGTGTATGACTGTAGGTATAATATCAAGGTATAAATGTTAAGATCTGTCCTTCCAAAAGATTGCACACATCTACGATCAAGCTATGATATCTCCAGTGTCCTGACATCCATCATTTTGTGAACAGAACCCGCCACGTCTTTGACTTGTGCAATGATAACACGATCTGACGCAATTCTCTTGTATTCTCCATCGCGCTGCCGTGCTAGCAAAAACGTGTGAAAAGGCTGTCCAAGGTGAACGATCAATCGCAACGCCCGCGACTGTAAACCAATCGTCCCCATTTCATCCGAAATCACGCTGCGAGAATCGCGGGACACAGATTCGCGCACAGACAAACTGCTCATACTCCAGTGCGGATTGTCTGCTAAGTCAGGTAGCTCGAGGAGATAGGGATGCCAAGGGCGGACAAGCAGGAATGTCTGGAGAGTAGACTTTGTCCGCGAAAATCGAGTCAGCTTGTCTCCCGTGGTGATCAGCAAGTCACGAAGTCCGTTTGCCTTGACTTCATACGCGAAGTATGCCTCCTGGTCGTGAGTACGGCTCCGTCTGATTTCTGCGACAGGGAACACGATACAAGGCAGACGCAGTCTGCCGTTTGTGAAAAGAGGAGCACCCAGCTTGTCAAGTAAGTTATAAAGTTTAAAAGCCACATCAATATCCACGGCATTTTGCAACCATAAGACCGATTTCTGGATGTCGTCTTCACCCAGAGATGGCAGCACGCATGGCAGAGCTTTGTATGAAGTAATGTCGGCTGGTAGGCAACTATTAAACTCGGATGGTTTCCCGACCCAGTCTAGCGCAGTAATGTCGCCCGACTTAGCCACGATCTCCTGCAGGAGCCGCCCAAGCGCGTTTTGCTTCTTCTCACCATAAATGATAGGTAGGTGGACACCGAAAATGCCAAACAGCGAATATGCAATATCTTCCTGCTCTGTTGTGACACGCGCGGACGCCCATCGGAGTTTCTCTCGAGCGCCTGCCATCCCCGGACGGAAGTCGATGAGGGCCAGTGTATCTATGCCCGTCGCATCCTTCAACTCCTGCATAATTGTGACAGACTCCTTGTGGCTCGGAGAGCAGTCACCAAGATATAGCGTCCAATCTTTTTGGTAGAAGAGAACGGTTTTGGGAGCGAGAAATTCCGGCATAGTCCATCCACGTGTGTTCCAAGCGCTCTTCGCCAGTGCGCCAGACCTGGACAAAGGTGGAACATCCGAAAGGTAGACTATCGTGAGTGCCGAGTGACGATACCAGTCAAACATGGAATTGAGTGATTTTTGGAGCTCGACATTGTTATTCTGGTCGATGCAGCAGGTATCAACCCACGCCCATCGATAGTCCATGTCGCGTGCAGTTTTGCAGAACGACTGCAACTTCACGATACCATCGATAGGGTTCAACTTGTACACGACCTTGTCCTTGATGTCGTGCAGCAGTGGCTCCCTCCCTTCCCATCTATGTGATAACATGGCACAACGGAAGTAGGACACCACCACTCTATTGATGTGCTCCATTTGGATCTCTGCATGATTGATTATCGATGACAGAAGTCCTTTGTATTCGGAGCTCAGTTTGAAGGTGCATATCTGCGCCTCTCGATCACACAAGAGGCCAGTAGTGGTGTCGAGTAGACGAAGTGGGGCGTCGTCGAATTGAGCGTGAATGGCCTCTTGAATGGCTCCTTCTGCTTCGGATGGATTGGCGTATTGCTGGCGCAGCTCTGGAGAAAAGGTCAAGCACGCTTAAGGATGTGGTTATTTGGGGATGCATTTGGGTACGTACTTTGTGTCTGCATGTCAGGAGCATTGTCTAACTTGGACAGCATGAATACAAAGGCCTCAATCGCTTCGTCATAGCGGCGTGCGCCATGAAGTGCTGCATGGTTCAACTGGTATCCAAGATAAGACGAACGCGTGGGAACTATGGCAAGCTGAACGACAGATTTTCCCTAACAAGAACATAACGCACCGTCATCGACTTCCTTCACGACCCTCCTTTGCCTGAGTGCCTTCACACTCGGCCGTATTGGAAATTCCTCTTCTGAATCAGTGTGCAAGCAGTCTATTAGTTCCAACAAGTTCCCGCATGGACGTGCGATACCACCCCTATCTGACGCAGGCAGGCGCGACGGGGATGTAGACGAACGAGGTCCCATGGGCGGAGGCGGCCGCGCTGGCATTATTGATGTGCTCAAGAACTGTGGTGGAGAATCGTAGTGCGAATGGGTAGGAGAGAGTGCCAATGGGATCCGAGGAAGGGGATGGGTTTGTGATGGAATAACCAAAGGGAGATCGGTTTGGCGAGGAGAGGTAGGTGGTGATGGTGATGGCCTGCGTGAGTAGCCGCCTCCATAATCATGGTGAGATTCTTCGAGGTACTCATTTTTATTGTGCTATACTAAATATCAGTCCCAGTCAGGAGGTACAGAGGAGAAAACTCAAAAACAAAGTGGGGAAATGACAGAGAATACAAGGAAAACAGAATGACCCTGGCGCAAAGAAGAAAAAACACTCACTCTTCGGTCCATCTCCACATCGTTGCTGACTTGGACAATATCAACAGTCACCTGCTCCTCCGCCACCCGCATAACATTGTCATACATATTCAATGCCCCCAGCAGCGCTTCATTCGCATCAACCAACGCGTCAAGAAGTTCCTCCTCCATAGTTTGTTGTTCCGTATGTCTATTTCCCTCTGCATTCCTTTTTCTGTCATTACGCGACCGTTCAGCGCCTTCAGACGCCCATGGAATTTGGGTGGCAATCAGTTCCTGTGACGCATCGCATTTTGACAGAAAATCCTGTTTATCGGTCAGACAAGTAGCAACAAAAGAGAAGACGAAGAGCTGATAAGGAAGGGGAATAGTAATTCCATGCAATGGGATGTGGCAGACTGACAAAATGAGAGCAGAGGTCAACTGAGAAATAACACGCACGAGTATTGGGCTCCCTTCTATCTGTTCCGGTTTTGCACGTGCAAGCATTTCGCTAAGGACAGTCGCATTTCCCATTGCGATCTTGCATTGCTGGAACAAGAGCTTCATGTCCTCGGGAGGAATAAAACAACGCTGGTGGGGAACTATGGGGAGGCTGAACGTAGCATCATCAGTGTCGAAGGAAATCCCCACATGAGGCTTGTCGGCATGTTTCAAGCGTATCCATAGGTCACGAAATCCGTCACTGCCACTACCATTGGGTGAAGAAGGCAGGGGACCTGTGAAGAATGGAGGTTCAGTGGAACAAGGACATGGCTCGAGACTGATAAAGACGGCTTTCCAAAATGTATATAAAGTAAACAGCAGATAAGGCAACAAAGATATACAGCAAGGGGGATATACAGTAAAGAATAAATTTAGATTACCACGTACGTGAACTGGTGGTGAAGGCGGCGACTGCGAGCACCTTCATTAGTCGGTTTCTAACAACAGGGCATGTTCTCGTGCTTGTTAGCACGTCCTCGAGGGTGTCAATAAATTTACGGGAACTGATCTGAGTAAGGAAAGTATCGGACGCGTTGCGGAGCATTATTTCCAATAACTGTGTAGATGGTAATGCATATTGGATGGAGTTTGTCAAGGTGGGGAGTGCTTACCCTAGCAGCAGATAATTGAGATTTAGGCTCTGCATATCTTTATCCCAAGTGCCTTGTCAACAACATACAAAGTGGAACACGGCTATGAAACGCACTTCAATTCTTTCCTAAGGGCTCTCACAGCCTCCTTGGCATTCGTTTCAGACGCAAGCTTGCGGCAGACCTCAAGCACGAGCCTCCGATCCTCCGACGAGGTTGCTGTAAGGTATACTGCACCGACATTAGTTCCCTTACCATCAACGGCACAGTATCGCCTGGATTGACGCACCAATCATGCGCGTCACGATAAGCTCTGAGGAATTATCTTTCTCGCGCCAAAGGCGCTGTCGAGCCTCTTTGTCAACTCCTCGCTCCTTTTCCTTTTCACGATCCTTGACTTTGTCCCCAAGAGAGTCAGGTAGCACCGCCCAGTCATCGTGACGGTGGTTCTCTCCTGAAGGCCGCTTAAGGTGCGCAAGTAGTGCATCCTATAGAGTTACGGGTTAGTGATAGTACTTAATCCAAGGTACAACATAGTAGCCACCAAGTTCTTGCTAGAAGTAAGTGACCTGGTGAGATTAAGACTTACATCGACGACGCTGGTCGATGACAACATCAACGTCCCTGTGCAAGATGACTTTTTGTTGCTCTGCTTTGTTGCGCTTAAAGAGCTCCTTCATGATTGATGGGAAAAAGAAAGAGCATCCATCCGCGTACTAGTGTGTAACACAGCCAACTATCTACAATATTAAGGGGTATTTCCATAAGAGCTGTGCTCGTCACAGGAAGTAAAAATGCATGCAATTACGATATTTCCAGTGTCCTGACATGCATTTTGTGAACAGAACCCGCCACTTCTTTGACTCGTGCAATGATATCTCGATCTGACGCAATTCTCTTGTATTCTCCACCGCGCTGCCGCGCTAGCAAAAACGCGCGAAAACGCTGTCCGAGGCGAACAATCAATCGTAACGCCCGTGAGTGCGACTGCGAATCGATTGGCCCTGATTCACCAGAAAACATGCTAAAAGTATCATAAAACATGGACCCCCTCACAGACCAATTGTCTGCAAAGTCAGGAAGCTCCAGGAGATAAGGGTCCCACGGACGGACGAGTAAGAATGTCTGCAGAGTAGACTTTGCCCGCGAAAATTGTGTCAGCTTGTCTTCCGTGGTGATTAGTAGGTCGCGAAGTCCGTTGGCCTTGACTTGATACGCGAAACATGCCTCCCGGTCTTGAGCATGGCTTCGTCTGACTTCTGTGACAGGAAATGCGATACAAGGCAGACGCAGTCTGCGGTTCGTGAAATGAGGAGCGCCCAGATTGTCAAGTAAGTTATAAAGTTTCAAAGCCACATCAATATCCACAGTATTTTGCAGCAATGAGACCGATGTTTGGATGTCGTCTTCGGACAGAGATGGCAGCACACATGGCGGGGTTTTATATGAAGTAATGTCGGCTGGCAGGCAACTATTAAACTCGGAAGATTTTCCGACCCAGTCTAGCGCAGTGATGTCGCCCGACTGAGTCACAATCTCCTGCAGGAGCCGTCCGAGTGCATTTTGCTTCTTCTCGCCATAAATAACAGGTAGGTGGATGCCGAAGATACCAAACAGCGAGTATGCAACATCTTCCTGCACAGTTGTGACACGCGTCGACGCCCATCGCAGTTTCTCTCGAGCGCCTGCCATCCCCGGACGGAAGGTGACGAGGGCGTGTGCATCTATGCCTGTCGCATTCTCCAACTCCCCCATGATTATAAAAGACTCCTTGTGATTACCAGAGCGGTCGTTAAGATATAGCGTCCAATCTCTTTGGTAGAAGAGAACGATTTTGGGAGCAAGGAACTCCGGGAGAGTCCACCCACGCGTATTCCAAGCGCTCCTTGTCAGTGCACCAGACTTGGACAAAGTCGGAACATCTGCGAGGTAGACGATCGTGAGTGCCGAGTGACGATACCAGTCAAACATGGAATTGAGTGATTTTTGGAGCTCGACATTATTATTCTGGTCGATGCAACAGGTATCAATCCACGCCCATCGATGGTCCATATCGCGTGCAGTTTTGCAGAACGACTGTAACTTCACGACACCACCGACAGGGTTCAACTCGTACACGACCTTGTCCTTGATGTCGTGCAGCAGTGGCTCCTTTCCCACCCACATGTGTGATAACATGACACAACGGAAGTAAAACGCCACCACTTCTTTGATGCGCTCCATTTGGACCTCTGCATGCTTGATTATGAATGACAGAAGTCCCTTGTATTCGGTGCTCAGTTTGAAGGCGCATATCTGCGCCTCTCGATCACACAAGAGCCCAGTATTGGTGTCGAGTAGACGAAGTGGGGCATCGTCGAGTTGAGCGTGAATGACCTTTCGAATAGCATCGTCTGCTTCGGACAGACTGAGATACTGCTGGCGCAGCTCTGGATAAAGTGTCAAGCACCTTAACTCATGAGTTATTTGGCACTTGCCTCGTAGCTGCATCTCAGGACTATTGTCTAATCTGGAGAGCATGATTTCAAAGGACTCGATCGCTTCATCATAGCGGTGTGCGCCATGAAGGGCTGCATGCTTCAACTGGTAACCAAGATGAGACGATGGATTGAGTATGATGACCTATGCATCAGCAAAATGAGCACTGATTCCAAGATGATTGATGTCATTGTACCTTTTGCGCATCGAGAAGTGCGTCCTCCCACAGCATTTTTTCTAAATTTGCCTTACTACTATGTGCAAAGACGGTATCGGTTGAAAAATCCAGGTCTATCCCTGACCAGTATGGGTCGATAACCCCATCAATAGCCTTGTCGCGATCGTTCACGGCAATGGTAGCATCTGGCTTGCTGGCAGGTATCTATACAGCATAGTATAAGAATAGCACCGTCGTTAAACACAAACAAAAACGAGGTACGAACCTCCTTTGCCACTGGTGGATGGGTAGGAACTACGGCAAGGTTAGACGTAGCACCCGCTGTGCCGAGGGCAATGTCAAGAGATCTTCTCCTTTCCCGCAGATACTGCACCGTGCGTTCAGCAGCCACGTCATATACATACTGCGTAGGCTGTCTTCGAGGCCACATTGTATTAGCATGATCCCCACCGTGTACCTCTTCATCTGAGTCAAATACAACCGATTCACGCGTTGGCTTGTAGTACGAATCACTTGAGTCGTATTGTTCTATATCGACAACGCATCAGCAAACCACGATTTTGTTATCAATCAAATGAGAACGTAACACACCATCGTCGACTTCTTCCAAGGCCCTCCTCTTCCCGAGCGCCTTCGCGCTCGGTCGTATGACCTCTTCTTCATCCACATCGTTTTCATCCATGTACAACCGGTCCAAAGCACCACCCATATTTTCCAGCAAGTTCCCCCTTGACGGACGCATGAGGCCACCCATATCTGGCGAGGGCGGGCGTAACGGGAACGCAGAAGACCAAGGATCCATGGGGGGAGGCGGTGGTGCGAGTAGTGTTGGTGTGTTCATGGACTGTGGCGGAGAACCATAGCGCGAATAGGTAGGGGAGAGCACAGGAGGGATTCGAGGAAGTGGGTGGGTCTGTGAGGGAACGACGGGAGGTAGATCGTATTGGCGGGGCGAGCCGTAGGGTGGTGGTGGGCTATCATAGTGCGAATGGACTGGGGAGAGCACAGGAAAGACCCGAGGAATGGGCGGGGGATAGGGTATCGTACCAGGTGGCCACATCACCGATTTCTCTAATTTGCGATGGCCTTGGTTTGTCTCGCCCAAACATGTGGTGGGAACAGTGGGAAGCCTAAGGTGGGAGTAAGTACTGGTAAATTATGTAAAAAATGCAGTTGCACGTCTAAAACGGCCGGCAGGAATGGGAAACTGGTGCACTTACTCCTCACATCAGGGCATTCGTTGGGGTAGGGCACCCCTAGCGCAGGGGGTTGCAGAGGTTGATGTTTGCGAGGGTTTGAGCAGCTTAGTCAGCACACAGAGACCATTCGAGACGAGACTGTAGTAGACACATCATCACTTCATCAGGATCATTGCTCAGAGCACATTAGTGCTGCCGCAGTTCAGTCCCGAACCTAGGTTCGAACCTGAACTTTTGCGAACGGAACCACCATTTGGTCAGTAGTTCGACATATGATACAGGACCGAACCTTACATAGGTTCTTCGTTCAGGGTGGTCTCGGATGGACGTCGGACCCGTTCGGACGAGTCTGAACCGGTCCAAACCCATCATTAGAGTTGCAGGTTTGTTGCTTCTGTTCTGCGACTCCTCAGGTTCAGTCGAAAGATGCTCACTGTTGACATATCAGTAAGTTTACCGGTGAAATCATCACCGGTGCAATCATCACTGGCGCAATCATCACCGGCACTATCATCACCGATGCAATTGATCAGAGTGGATATTCATATCTCATTCTGGTCTTACGCAGAACATCAGCGAAAGGATAAAAGGGTGGGGTGCGTCCAAGGTTAGCTCATTCATCAAAACATGTCGAACTCTGCAGTTAATGCTAATGGTGTTTTGAAGGATGCTGTCCGAAATCGAATGGTATCATGATCCTGATGATGACATGCCCATCTCGCCCCATCCTGAATCCTCATCTAAGGCTTTGCCCCCAGCACCCTCTCATTGTACCCTGGACTCTTTCAGTAGGCTCTCATCGAATGCCCTGCAACAGTTGTTGCTGGTTCTCGTCGCTCTGGCCGGCCTATCAAGCCTTCCACAAAGGTGCGAGAAGCAGCGAGCAGTGCCATTCCTGCCAAACGTTCAGGTACTACCACCATGCCCCCTGCCACCAAGCGCCCGCTTGTCTCTGCAACCAGCTCTTCTACAATTGGCGACAATGATGGCAGCTGGTGACGACGACGACGACGATGTCATATCTACAAACAAGGACAAGTCATTTGTTGCAGATTCAGGCGACGAAGAGGCCAAGGAAGCTGAAGAAGCTTACCAGCAAATAAAAGCATTTGGAGATGCCGACCGAGATGTAAGTGTGTTTTCAGGCTCTCTCCTACTTTACTCATATCAGACCTCCAGGTTCGCAAAAGTTTGAAGAAAGATGAGCGGACAGCAGATCTGCGGATGATCTTCACCGAGGAAAAAGGCCACAAGAACGCACACACCGGTGAAAGTGAGGATGGATGGTGGTGTAACGTTTGCAAGTGTGTTTTGCTCTTCCCCATTTTCGAGCATCTTTTTACTAACTTGCCTTCTGTCTCATAGGGAAGCAAATTTGCCTCTTCAAAATTGTTTCTTCAAGGGCAGTATTTCTACTCAGTCGTACTCACATTGCCCGGAATCCAGACTGCCACTTTCCGATCTACAAGAGTCGCTGCGAGGAGAAAGGCATCATCATGCATGAGCGCGCTATTCCCTTGAATGTCAAGGTATCTGACGGAGGGCAGCGAACTCTTGATCGTGCCCTTGTCCCCAAGCCACCACAGTTTTTCGAAGTCAGGCCTTGTCGACTATATTGTCGAGCTTATTGTTGCCGAGGATGAGGTTTGTGACTTTCACTATTTCTTTCTTTCTTTCACGTACTCACGCAATTGCAGGCATTTCAACTTGTCGACAAAGGATCCTTTCGCCACCTCCTGCAATACCTTCGGCCAAGCCTTACAGATCAAGATATCCCGCACCGCACTAAGACATGGGATTCGAGATGTGCTACAGGTCAGTTCCTTCAACTGTCTTTTTTTCACCTTCTGTATTAACTAGCACTACACTGCGCAGGAGCCTGCTAATGCTCAACAGACTTTCTCGGCTACTCGGGAGCCTACAGTCTGGTGCACCATTCCTGTCCTCGAATATCTTCAAGAGACGTGGGAACGCATGGCTGGCACTTCAACATTCGACGTACTTTCAGCATCTGTCACATCCGGCCTGGACAATCTGGCTAAGTGGTATCGCAAGACAAATGACACAGATGTCTACTTCATCTGCCTTGGTATGTGCCCCATTCTTAATTCACACATTCTCATTTTGACGACACTCTTACTTTCATCATGCAGCCCTCGACCCTAACTACAAAGTTGCCTACGCTAAGGCAAAATGGGCGTCTCAAGACTTTGCTGATGGAGTGAAACGGCTTGAAGATGTGGTAAGTCCATGGGTATCTCAATAAATTGTCTGCGCACTAACTTAGTATCTAGTTTGAACAGTATTATCGTGCCCCTCCTTCATCTGCTGCAATGACACATTCTGCTACACCATCCCTCTCACGCCAAGGTTCCTACGGCCAGAGCTGGATGCGCGATGCAATCAAAGCTCGTGTCTCACATGATGCAGCTCGTCAAAGGCCTCGTCGGGAATTGGAGGACTACTTAGCTGCACTGGAGGATGTTGAGAATGTAGTCGCATGGTGGGGTGTAAGCTCATATCCTTAATATTCTGTGTAACTTGAAGCTGACAATTATTTTTTAAAGCATCACTCGGTTCAGTATCCCACTGTTGCTCGCATCGCAAAAGATTACCTCGCTATTCAGGGGTCTGCGGTAGCATCTGAACAGGCATTCTCAAGTGGCGGCATCACCGGCACCACACATCGCAACTGCTTGCTTCTAGAGACATTTGAGGCACTTCAACTGTTAAAAAGTGCATACCGTCAAGGCCATGTATCAGCAATGGTGCAGGCTGAGCTTGTTGCTCCTCAAATTTTTATTGTTGAATAGTCTAGCCTACAATTGTTCGTACTTGGAAAATTTGCTAATTTCATGTTGCGTTCGGCGGTTCGAACTGGTTTGAACTCGAACCCAACCATTGTGAACCCGTTCGAAGTGGTCTGGCCCAGAGTCCACCCTACCTTTGTGAACTTGACCGAGGTTCAGTTCTCGGTCCTCAGTTATCTTGAAAAAACCGGACGGAACTGAACTTCGGCAGCACTAGAGCACATTGTCTGGAGTGACCACTCCATCATGGTGAGAGAGTGGGACTCGATCGACACAACAGCTTCTACCGAAGTGTTTTAATGAATAACAATTGGTCAAAAACACAACAAATGTCACAACAGTAAAACGTCAACAAGAAGCACCCGAAACATCAACAGACACATGTAGAATGCACCTCATCTACATAGCCTCAGGGAGCAGCCTACAAAAGCCCAGTAGACACCAGAATGCCACCCAAAACCAAACTACCACAAGCAGCAAATGGACGGTTTATTTCTAGAAAAAGCCTAAACAATCTATCTGCCTCATCATCTACAGCAGCATCTGCTGAATCTTCCCCATTAGATACTCCAGAAACGAGAACATACGAGCTCTTTGACGACGATCTTGATCAAGAAGACTCAGAGTATGAATCTTACAAGGTTCAATGTCAACTAGAAAAAGCCGAAGAAGACCAGGAATCGTTAGAAGGAGCACCTGACCTAGACGACACTGAACTCCCCACATTTGACTCCCAAACCGAGGCCATAACAACTCCGTTTCCAACCTCACAGCCATACATCCCAACGCCACTTCTACTTACCCAGCCTCATCCACGAACACCAATCAAAGCTCCATCCGTACCCACCGTCTTCACCCCAGCCCCAGTGCAGAAGAAAATGACCGGTTCAAACACACCAGCCTGGTTCCATGGCAAAGCCGATGAAAATGAGCAGAACTTCCTATGGGAGGTTGAGAGGTACATCATACTTAACGACCTAAAGACAGAAGCAGGGAAGGTCATGGTATTCAGCACTCTGCTATCGGCAGGATCAGTAGCAGACACTTGGTGGACGAAGCTTGATAGCAAGCACAAGGCCACATGGCCTGACGTGAAACTGGCCTTCTCGGAACGATGGCCAGCTATCATAGTAGCAGAGAAGACGGGACTGGATTACCAGCGCGAAATCCTAGCGCTGCGTCTAACGGAGGAAGAATTAGGAAAGCAAATCACTGTTGCTGGCGTGCCAACATGGTCACATCTGCAGTACTGCACCAATCTACAACAGCTTGTCGAGGAAGCGGGAACAGCCACAACGGCCAGTCTCATCTACCAAGTGCGAGAGAACCTGCCAGCGGTAATGAAGGAGCTCACGACTCCAGGGTTAGCAGAGTGGAAGAAGTTCATAGATGAGATCACGGCCATTGACACCAACAAGCTGCGGGAGAAAGCGGAAGCAGCTCGGAAGAAGAAGGAGCTGGAAAAGGTACAGAACACCTGTATCGCAAGGCTAGAGAACTTACAGACAGATGCCGTGGAAGTTTTACGGTTGCAGCTACAACGAACCAACTTAGGAAGCAACCAAACCAATACAGCAACCACGAACACTAACACCCATTCACCCTCCAATACAATGGCACCATGTATATGCTATGTCCCCAGAGGATCTCCTACACCACGCCAAACACGTCAATGCCAGCCATTGACCCCAGAAGAACGGGACGCACTGAGGAAACGTGTTGAGGAGATGCCACACCACCAAGACAACGCAGCAGGAAGAGCAGCTTACGATGAACAGTTGAAACAATGGTTCACCATGAACAGCCAAGACAGTAGGGTCACAGAAGAAACTCCATTCCCATTATGACCAGGCAGCGCTATGATATGCTCGGGGGAATGCTTCTGGTGCAGAGTGCATGGCCACATCGCAGCAGAATGCCCAACCCCAGAGGCATCACAGCTGTCCCTGCAGGAGAAAATCTGGCGCAGCATCACGGCTCGCTCGTTAGGGAACTTCAATTGAGGACAAGCCATACAAATTGCCCTAGCGTTCGAGGATGAGTATACACAGCAATGGGAGCAGGGAAAAGGTCAAGGGTCGTTGGCTTAGAGGACAGCCAGACGACCCAACTAGACACCCTACCTCAATCAGTTGAACATTCTGTCCTCGCATGTGCAGAGGCAGCATGTGAGGACCAGCCCAGTAGCCCTGTCGAAAACACGTTATGCATGCAGCCTACCATTGTATCAGTGCCAGAACAATGTGAAATCATTGACTTGTATTCGACGGAGGAGGTGAAAAGCAACGCACCAGGAAACCAGTCCTGCAGACCCTTCCTACAGTACATCTCATTTACAGGACCCAACGGCGAGACCAACAGAGTCAAAGCTCTATTCGATGAGGGCGCGATGGTCAGCGCGATGTGTACGTCAGTGTTTGACCGCATCAAACACAGATTAGGGAATTGGGGACCATCAAGCAAGAGACTTCAGATGGCCAACAGAACAACCATCCCATCAGAAGCAGTGTGGAGAGGTGAAATCGTGCTAGGAGGAGTCTCAGTGCAAGGCGAATTCGAGGTCTTCAGAAGTGGAGGCAGCTGGAAATTCCTATTGGGCAAACCATTACTGCAAGCTTTCAAAGCTGTCCATGGCTACGACAAGGATGAAGTGCGAGTAATGGGAAACGGAGGGACAACAACACTCCACAACTGCGAAGCACACACAACCAAGATGACCGAAGTGAAGGACCACGAAGCAACAAATGTCGTTATCGGACAAGGGTCAACATGGGGGGAGAACATCCCCCCTTGAGGCAAGTCAATCAAGTAGAGCAGA